GATGCATGTCATCGTATCCCTATTGCGTGGATCGATGCTCATGATGACGGTCATTGGGTTGTCTGGTCCAGACTCGATTATTTACAGACCGCCGTCATGTAGCTGGACTATTGCTGGGTGCAGCGTCAAACAACAAACAAACGAAACCGTCTCCATCAGCAGCTTCATCACCATTGTAAGATCATCGTCAGCAGCATCATATACATAAATAATCTCCTACACCCTCCACCTAACCACAGCATCAATATTATTATCGTCTTAATCGCCGAGAACATAATCAAACAGTCATCGTCATCATCATCATCTATTTAATTGACATCTTACCACTTCAACGACTTCTCAAATGACAAGCTGAACGTCGTCATCAATATTCAGTGAAGGTTTCTACACTTTAACGTTATTTTAAATTTCATATTACACTGTGTGCGCACTAAGCCATCCCTCATCGATTGTCACTGTGTGTCGACAAAAACACGGAAGAGAACGAATATGACTGAAGTGTACGGTTTCTCTGTTGAACAATGAACCGTGCCATGACCTGTTTTCTACTGACAAGCACTTCACAAAGATAAGATCCTGTTGTTGAAGTAATCTGCTTTTGTCATGGGGCACTTCAGCCGTGATCGTCTAGTGGTTAGGACTTTGCGTTGTGGCCGCAAGAACCCCGGTTCGAATCCGGGTCACGGCATGTGTCTCTATGTTTTTGAAGTCGTATTTCAACAAAAATAATGTTTGATGAATATACGAATTTCTTTTACGTTTGATGAAATACAATTATTTTTGAACGTACTTATGAATTAGACGAAATTTTGTTCAATTTAAACCACTTTACGCGTAAAGGGGTGCGTGTCAAAGGCCTTTATGTATCATATCCTCATATGGTATCATGCTTCAGTTCACGAAAAAGTACCTTTTGTTGAAATGAGACGATACTTTTCATCTCCACTTGATAACCCCACTAATGTAATGGAATATACGAATTTCTCTTTCGTTTGATGAAATACTTTTATTTTCATTTGAATGTGCTTATGAATTAGACAAAATTCGGTTCAATTTAAACCACTTTAGGCGTAAAGGAGTGCGTGTTTAAAGCCTTTATGTATCATATCCTTACATGGTATCATGCTTCAGTTCACGAAAAAGTACCTTTGGTTGAAATGAGACGACACTTTTAATCTTCACTCAATAATCCCACTAATTTAAATGTGCGGTTATGCTCCCACATCGACAGAGCAACAATATCACAATCGTAAGTCCCCGTGAAGATCCTGGTTGGAAAAGGTCTTCAGCAACCCATGCTTGCCGTAAGAGGCGACTAACGGGATCGGGTGGTCAGGCTCGCAGACTTGGTTGATGCATGTCATCGTATCCCTATTGCGTGGTTCGATGCTCATGATGTCGATCACTGGGTTGTCTGGTCCAGACTCGATTATTTACAGACCGCCGTCATGTAGCTGGACTATTGCTGAGTGCAGCGTCAAACAAACAAACAAACAAAACCGTCCACATCAGCAGCTTCATCACCATTGTAAGATCATCGTCAGCAGCATCATTTACATAAATAATCTCCTACACCCTCCACCTAACTATCAGCATCAATATTATTATCGTCTTAATCGCCGAGAACATAATCAAACAGTCATCGTCATCATCATCATCATCTATTTAATTGACATCTTACCACTTCAACAACTTCTCAAATGACAAGCTGAACGTCGTCATCAATATTCAGTGAAGGTTTCTACACTTTAACGTTATTTTAAATTTCATATTACACTGTGTGCGCACTAAGCCATCCCTCATCGATTGTCACTGTGTGTCGACAAAAACACGGAAGAGAACGAATATGACCGAAGTGTACGGTTTCTCTGTTGAACAATGAACCGTGCCATGACCTGTTTTCTGCTGACAAGCACTTCACAAAGATAAGATCCTGTTGTTGAAGTAATCGGTCTTTGTCATGGGGCACTTCAGCCGTGATCGTCTAGTGGTTAGGACTTTGCGTTGTGGCCGCAAGAACCCCGGTTCGAATCCGGGTCACGGCATGTGTCTCTATGTTTTTGAAGTCGTATTTCAACAAAAATAATGTTTGATGAATACACGAATTTCTTTTACGTTTGGTTAAATACAATTATTTTTGAACGTACTTATGAATTAGACGAAATTTTGTTCAATTTAAACCACTTTACGCGTAAAGGGGTGCGTGTCAAAAGCCTTTATGTATCATATCCTCATATGGGGTCATGCTTCAGTTCACGAAAAAGAACCTTTTGTTGAAATGAGACGATACTTTTCATCTCCACTTGATAACCCCACTAATGTAATGGAATATACGAATTTCTCTTTCGTTTGATGAAATACTTTTATTTTCATTTGAATGTGCTTATGAATTAGACAAAATCCGGTTCAATTTAAACCACTTTAGGCGGAAAGGAGTGCGTGTTTAAAGCCTTTATGTATCATATCCTTATATGGTATCATGCTTCAGTTCACGAAAAAGTACCTTTGGTTGAAATGAGACGACACTTTTCATCTCCGCTTGATAATCCCACTTATTTAAATGTGCGGTTAGGGTCTCACATCGATAGCCCAAAAAATATCACAATCGTAAGTCCCCGTGAAGATCCTGGTTAGAATAGGTCTTCAGCAACCCATGCTTGCCGTAAGAGGCGAATAACGGGATCAGGTGGTCAGGCTCGCAGACTTGGTTGATGCATGTCATCGTATCCCTATTGCATGGATCGATGCTCATGATGTCGATCACTGGGTTGTCTGGTCTAGACTCGATTATTTACAGACCGCCGTCATGTAGCTGGACTATTGCCGAGTGCGGCGTTAAACAACAACAACAAACAAACAAACAAACAAACATACAAACAACGGTGAAACCAAGATTGGATTCACACATGTTATACCCACGTTGGGAATCGATGTTCGGCATGTGAAGCCAACACTTTAACCACTACCCCTCGCCCCTCACATACTTGAAAGAGATTTTTATAACAATTATGTCTCTTTTGTGAAAACGGTTTCAGTCTCATTAAAATCATATCTGAGATTTGGTTAGCAGTAGCGAGAATTAATATAAGATCAATCCTCATGATGTCAATCACCTTTTGGTGAGTGCGGCGTTAAACGGTAAAGAACGAATGTGACAGAAGCGCCTTTTATCTCTCTTGAGCAGCGTGACCTTAGGACTGTATCATGACCATCATTATGCCGACCCCCCCCCCAAGGTAACATGTTATAATTTACCACGGTAAACCCCATTTCACCCCACCCCACCCTTCGGCTGACGTATAAATCAAATGTTCTTCCCAAATCATTAATTTCGTCAGCTGTCAACAGTCTTTCATCAGACGGCACCGTCTGACAGACAGTCATGCTTCAGGACAAAACCAGTGTTTGTTGTGATCTTAACTCTTGTGATTAACAGTAGCCCGTTGTCTACATTCTGAGTGCTCAAGGATAAATGAGGCCATATCGGATACTTGACCTCGGCGGTGGTGTTGCTTATGTGATAGGTGGAGTAATAAAATTTATGCTTCCGTATGTTTGCTAATTCGGACAGATTTCACAATGAGCGTATGTTTTGTCATCTTTAGAAAAGTTGGGAAGACTTCAGTCCCTTATTATCATTTCAATTGTTTCATATATCACTATACGTGTGCTTTCTTAAAGTACACTTCTGATATTTAAAGTCGAAAATATTGTATTTACTGTTGAAACGAATTTGACCTTAACCACACATACTCATTTATCCAGTGTATTACACCTCATTCTATTTGGACAAATCCCAAGGACTCGCATCGTTTCTGAGATGGCGTCATCACAGATAGCACAGATGGCGATAGCACAGAATTTCCTTCGCACAGGAGAGTGATTAGATTGGACGGCCTTTTCTATAGGGTCGAGACATTCGAATCTGGCTCAGAAGTGAACGATGATGGCTCATGGGAGGTGGGTAATTATCAACAAACAGATATGAACCACTGGATTATCGTGGACGGGAAATAGGAGGCAGTAGAGTTAGTGGTCAAGGAGATATCAAGTTCGTTGCATTACAAATTAACAGTATTCATATAATTGAGTGAGCGAATATGGTTTTGTGCCGCTTTGAGCCCTATTCCAGCAATATCACGGACACCAAATATGTGCTTCACACATCGACCTATGTGGTGAGGTGACGGTGAGGTGAAATAGGGTTTCACGTCGGGTCCAAGATTATTGCACTTATATAGCGACGTGCATGCACGTGTGTGTTTGTGTGTGTGTGTGTGTGTGTGTGTGTGTGTGGCTGCTTGTACTAGTCCGAACTGATGCCGATTTATAGTGCTAGCCCACTGAGATACCATGCCGCAGTTTAACATGAATACCCCACTCAGACACAGTATACTGACTCCGAGCCGACCAGTCCTTGTTTTAGCCCCTTAATGCCGAGCGCCAGGGTAACAACAAGTACCATCTTTTAACGTCTATTGGCCTATGTAGTGAATCGTACCCGGGTGTTCGTTGTGAAGAGAGAACGCTTTAACAACTATACTACCCCAACCCGCCCCGTATTCATATGAATACAACTGTAACATATGTCTGATGTCAACTTCAGTTTACCAGCATCTGATATACACAAGAAAAGAGGTATTTTGTATTGCAGAAAAGCAATCGAACACATGAGTGAGTGAGTGGGTTGGCTTTTACGCCGCTTTTAACAGTATTCCAGTTATATCACGGCGTGTCAGCTTAATGTGGGAGGAAAGCCCGAAGTGATGCAGGTCTCAGACGTTTACCACTTCGGTTCGGTGAAACCCACGAGCACGGGTATGGTACTGACAAACCTAGAAACATAATCGGGGCGAACCGGGATTCGAGCCACAATCATAGGTTTCTGGCGTGCCCAAAGGACGCAACTCTGCACAGCGAATCGCGGCGCCTTAGACGAGTGGGCCACCCGTGACCCCTCGAACACATGAATAACCAGATAGCGATTGTCAGCATCTTACCATGAGGTGCATGTCGGCAGCTCCAAGTTCCCGTCGAGCGTTGTTGTGGGCAGTGAGCATCTGCTGGACGTGTCTGGACGTCAGACCATATCCGGCCGAGGCGCCTCCCGCACCGGAAGTCGTCGGCAGGGCAGGAATGACGTTGCGAGGCGGGTTGATTCTGCGTTGAATACTGGTTCTCGGATTTTCGCTGACGAAGTCCATGCCATTTAAACCAAACTGACTTCCAAAGGATTGAAACACATCCGGGATTCTTTGCCGACGAACCTGTTGCCTCCGTTGAGTGGTCCTCTGAGGCTGTCGCCGGATGGTCCAGCTGAAACTTCTCTGTCCCGGGGTGGACATCATACTCTGGAGGAGTCCGGTGAGGTCCAGACCACCAGCACCAACCTGGGAATTCCCAGAACGTTGAATTATACTTGTCCCCCCAGCCCCTGCGGGGTAGGACGTTCTGGACGTCCTTGAGACTCTCCTGATTGTCCTTGTGGTTGGTAGTGGCGCGGACAACCCGGTTCGACCCGCCCGTGTATTGTATGCATTACCCCCAGATTGTATCATGAAGTTCCCCTGGGGTAGAATTTCGCCCCCTCCGAATCCACTGTCAATGAAATGGCCACCCTCATGGCCCGATAAGATCAGTTCTTGCCCAAAGTCAAAGTTACCAATTCCTTGTCCCGGGATTTCAACGATGCTGAGGAAACAGAGCAGCAGTGACACCAGGCTTGTCGACGACATCCTTCTGAGAGAACTGTTGTGAAAATTCCAAATCGAACAACCTAACAGCACTGTCCGAAAAATTTCAACAATATGATACCTGGAAAGGATGTGGTGTTTATAAACACTAACGAATTAAGACATACTTGGTAGTTCCCGTCAGAGATCGCTGTCGTCGGATCATGCAGGTTAGTGTGACAGACGGGGGACACGGGGCTGAGATCACAGGGACTCTTATAGCTGCAGGGGAGGGGTGTAACACGTGCTGACTGGAAGATTGAAGTGTGGGGCCTCTGTGTGACACAAGCGCCTGTACCCCCAGGCAGGTAGCATTTATCACGGGGGTGCTTCACGAGACACCATCACACACACTCTTCTTGTGATGTAATGTTTGTACTGTAAAAGTTACATAACAGATCTTCCAGCCTTTTCTCGCTCATTCGCAAGAAAACTATTGGTCTACAGCTGCTTATTTATTAGTTTAATGCATGTTCAAGTCACCATATGGAATTATGTATTGATAAAAAACATGTATACTAATTAACCGATCTCTTGTGTATACATTTAGTTCCGTCAATGTATCGCTCATGCAAGTGTGTTCCTTCGAATACCTACCCTCGAGTGGTCCTGTGGGGTTAACGCAGACCAACACAGTGTACCAGTCTCGAAAACATAATTCAGTCTGTCATATCGTTTCACAAACTATAATAGTACTTGTTTATTGGCATTTGTCGTTGTCAAATCCATATTAATTCATTTTCAAATCAACATGTATCAATCACATGGGCTATCTTTTCACCGTGAACAAAACTATTTCAAACAAGTCAGGAGAGGTACGTCGTGTCTCAACAGTAACGGTCAAACACCATACAGTCATGCAATGACTGACGTAATCCCTTGCTTCAAAATCATCCAGTGTGTGGCCTGGGAATTCTCGATTATCAAGTATATTAAGTATCGACTCTATTACCATAAAGACATCATTATAGAATGGAGATATAATATATTCGATAATCGAGGATTGTATGAATAAACCGTGTTTTGTGTCCCGTATTTACAGATTCAGTCTTGACCGATAATCGTGGTTCCGCTGCCCCCTGTCACGCCCTTAGCTAAATCATCACTGCTGTAGCTATCAAATTGTTAAATAGAAGTTGCACTGCACATTGTACATATTTGCAAATATTTCCTCTTCCTTAGGTCGTATTTTTTTTAGAACAATCTATTTTTTTCCAAGCTGTATCCAACACACCCTATTTATTTACTGAGCACTATCAACCAATGTATTCATTTTCACTAATAACACACAAGAAAAATGACGTTATATTTTTTTCACAAAACGAATTGTTCACTTATTTCGCCGATTCCAACAAACTATTCATTTTGGACATATTTCTGAACAAACTATTTGTTTAGGAGATAAACATACTGTGTTTTCAATGTAGTGCTAGATTACCTGTAGATTTAACCGCGCTAAAATGAATTTGGAACCGAACGCACAGTATGTTTATCTCCATTCAACCATGACTAAATAAAACGCGAACTCTTTGGTGTTAGCAAATATACTGAGTGAATGTATATATACTCAAACAGTTTGTTTACACGGTAATACTTCACTCGAACATATTACAGGAGTTGAAAGCATATAAGCACGGCAACTTGGTAAGCTAACATGAGGAGGGCATCCCTAAAGAAAACAAAGCAAGCTTTGCAAGGTTATCACTCATCATCGCGCGTCATCATTATGACGTCATATTGCTCATTGTGACGCAAAAGATATGACGTCACAGTCGTATATAGAAAAGCGCCAAAATTCCAAGCTCTCTGTTGTCCCCAAAACGTAAATACTTTCCCTTTGTAGATTTCTATCGTGTTTTCTGCACGAAATGTATTGCCACACATCCTTTGAATAGTGTAGTAACCGCATCTGTGCATTTTGTAACCTGTAATTGTAGATATAATTGTTTAAATATACCTACCGACAATGACTGAAAATAGTACTATTCTATGAATATTAGCTTCCGCGGTGATGCGGCCGTCAAAACAGCTGTTTCAATCAGTGGGGGTTTATTGTGATTTAATAGCCTCTGATTGACCAATCACAATCGAGTAAATTCCAAATTCATGGTAGAATTAAATAATATCTCCCCCCACTCCCCACCTCAACAGAAATAAATGGATGCTCTTAACGGGATCGGGTGGTCAGGCTCGCTGACTTGGTCTATGCATGTCATCGCATCGCAGTTGCGTAGATCGAGGCTCATGATCTGCATCGTCTGGTCCAGAGTCGGTTATTTACAGACCGTCGTCATATAGCTGGAATATTGCAGAGCGCGACGTTAAACAACTAACCAACAATCAAACACATATAAAAATCACAGTCTCGTAGAGAGATCTTCCTCTCCCATCTCAGCATGTGAAATGGGTAGCTTTAATTGAATGAACAAGAAGTGAATGTCAAAATTGTGCATAATAATCTGTCTATGATTGAGGTCGTCTGATTCCCCCCCCCCCCCCATTTAACCGATTTATTGTTCGGTTTTTTTTATAGTTATTCATATGTTTCGCACCATGAACTATTCTATTCACATGTGTTTTAGAAATTTTAAGAATGATTAAAATTGGAAGATTATTTAATTTCACCTGCCTTATTATAAGTGATGCAAAATAATTGTTTCGAGCTGTAACACTGCTGCCCACCTAAAACCTATGATTTCTCTTTAGTCTGCGTGTAAGTAAAACAAACAAAAGACTCTTATCCTTTTCAACGCTGACAGATAGATTGCTTGTATCTAGTTTGGCGAGTTGGTAGGACGGCATTCCCAAAACGTAAAACACAGTAAAAGGTGAAGGGGGCACCCGGGATCGAACCGGGGACCTCTCGATCTGCAGTCGAATGCTCTACCACTGAGCTATACCCCCTTATTTCCCGCCATGTCATTTTAGCTACACATTCCACTGTTCAATAGTACACGAGCTAAATTTAGTAACAGATGAAGCGTTCGGCGTTAGTCACCACACAAACTCGTCTCCGGTCTGCCGATTGTTTGAACACCGCGCATGCGCAGCAGTCAACGTGCACCAGTTTATGACCGCATTGTCTGGATATTATTGTATTCGGGACTATCCCATTCGAGGACCGCTATATTCTCCATTCGTGGCCACACGAGAAATTCCGGCTAAATTAGGTCGCAAATGGATAAAACTAATCCATTCGTCACCGCAAATGACAACTAATCACGGAACGGACGAAGCCGACTATTCCGTATTAAAGGGACGTTATTCTACATGCGCTATATTTATAGAAGCTCTTGTAAAATCATAGTTAGGACCCGTACGGTACGAAACGAGTGTAGTTTTACGCTTCTTTTAACAATCTTCCAGCAATATCACGGCACGGGACACCAGAAATGGGCTTCACACATTGTACCCAATGTGGGGAATCAAACCCGAGCCATCGCCCTGACGAGAGAACGCTTTAACCAAATGGCTAAACAATCGTCTCAAATAACTAAAAATCGTTTTTCGTAAATAAGACCACAAAAACATTAAAATGAAATTGAAAATTATTTGGGAATTCGTGAAAATAAAAATACAAGGCACGATACATTTCAAAATTTTACCGGTTTATGATCGGTCGGTTATGTCGACACTTTTGAGATAGAATCAACCAGTCACAATTTTCATATCAAAAGGAATAATAAATGGTATAGATTTACCATACTGTGTAAGTTCATGTTTCTTCACGTAACTATATTTACGTATGTCCACAGGGGACCCAGCGCTCTATGGCATGTCGTGCGAAGCTACTGAAACGATCGGATTGCCAGACTTATGGTTTATAGATTATACTAGTATTATTACTCCGTTGAAGATATCGGTGTTTAATAACTAATAAGCTGATAGAGAGTGACATTGTGTGTAGATATAATAGATCGCTGAGAGGAGCTCATGCACACTCGATGACCCCCGCAACCCTGTGGCTGGGCTGACCTCACATAGCATTGTTTCACCGGTGTATATTGCAACACATTTTCACAAATTACGTCATAGGCTGATTGTAAACTTTGTGGTGCAGACCCGGTCTAAAAAGCGATCGTAGCGCAACGACAATCGTAAGGCTATGTAAAAATATGTCAGTTACGATCACCTTAGCGCTATGATAGCGTTGTGAAACGTTCCCCTGAATTCTAAAGGTTGGCCTTTGTATTGTATTAATATAATACGTGTCAACTTTTGTTCTGTTTTACACGGGAGATCGTATATTATTATACCGATGTATATTAATCATTGGTTTGATCATATACAGGCCGTCGTCATATAACCCGACTATATTACCCATATGGGTAGAATGATCGTATGTAATAACTTACCGATATTTGCACATGTGCATTATAGCGATTCGTAATGCTGATTGGTCAGGTGAAGCCGTATGATGTCACAATGCTTCATTGTTGAGTAGAAATACGATATTACGTCATCTATAGTTCATGACGTCACAAATTGATAACATTACGTCCTCCTAATCTGTAGGGTGAAATATCAAGTTTTCCTCATCGAGTGACAGGGGGAAGGGAGATATTTTGACGACTGGCGCAGCCACAAGTGAAAATACCTCCTTTCCTTCCGTCACGAGATGAGAGAAACGTGATATTTCACGAGACACATGGAATATCCTTTTGATAATATAATAGGTAGCTTTCTCGGCAGGATAAAGCCAATGGATAAAAACGATATCCTTTGGTTGGTTGGTTGGTTTGTTGTTTAACGCCGCACTCAGCAATATTACAGCTATATGACGGCGGTCTGTAAATAATCGAGTCTGGACCAGACAATCCAGTGATTGATATCATGAGCATCGATCCACTCAATTGAGATCGATGACATTCATCAACCAAGTCAGAGAGCCTGACCACCCGATCCCGTTAGTCGCTTTTTACGACAAGCATAGTCGCCTTTTACGGCAAGCATGGGTTGCTGAAGACCTATTCTACCCCGGAATCTTCACGGGTCCGATATCCTTTGGGGTCATATGCGGATAGAAATGCAAATATCAAAGGTCAAGTAGGGACTACTTTCAGTGTTTATAAACAAACATGGCGTCGCCGTTGTAATTTGGCGATCGAGTCTTAGAATTAAACATCGGGAATCTGGAGAAACTACTGGGATAATTCCTATCATTATCAAAAGAATAGTCTAACATATTGAAAATAAGTGTCTAACTGTGACGTAGCTTAGGCATTTTACAAGTTTGGGCAACTTTGGAGATGTAAAATGCGAAACAATTTTGTGATAGCTCTAGCCAAGCGAGATCAATTTCCATATCAGTGCTTGTAGACCTCTCCGACTTGGAACCTTTTCCACAAATAAAAACAGTTGGATTTTGCCGAAATATGTCCGAATTGTTACCTTGTTTCGTTTTGTCGCTGTATGTACATCTGACTGCACTTGGTAACGTTATAACAGGACAGACTGGCTTTCAACAACGCCTGTCTGTGGCCGTGGTCTCATTGACTAGGATTAGAGTAGCTTCCCTTTGATAAAGGGCAGTTACTCTAGCGTACTCCCCCCCCCCCCCCCCCCCATATTGTGAAGTTGTACATGTTTTAATTGTATGTTCAAATATAATTCCAGCAATAATAAGCCTACTAATACCTCTTTGAAAGAGCATCGAGGCGCTGTATTATACTTAGATACAAGGAACAAGTTCATGAAAATAATGTGTGTTTGTGTTCATCGAAAGATGACAGCCGTAATTTTGTAAACTGAAGAATGCATCCCATGTCAATGACGTTACTTCGCTCAAAACAGCATCATACATTATATTTGTACCCAATTTTCACAACAAGGGAACATTATTAACTTAATGTGTATGTACATATGGTTCCTGGTTATAAGTAAAGTTCAAACAATGATTGTAATTAGCTGTAGTGTCTCTCCAATCTCCAGCCTCTAACCATATGAACCGGGCAAAAGAGTGTATATACTTGGAAAATGGATTTGACAAAACAATTGCAAACTTTTTCTTTTGCCTGAAAACAGTCGCCGAAGGTTCAGAACACAACTATGATACTCCTATGAAATAAACTGAAACGAAACTACATATAGCAGTTGATTTTATCACATGTTTGAATTTCAATTAAAAATATTTAAATTTATCGATATTATATCCAAACAATGAAATGTACTTGAGCTTTGTCAGCACTCACTTCTGTATGGTTTTATTTAAAACAAATTATTTGATTTAAAACTTTGAAACATTAATAACAATTATTCGCATATTACACAACTGCTGATTGGTATTTTAGGTATCTTATCTTTGGAATTCAATAAATTTGTTTTTTTTTACGACACAATTTTACATCTAAAAATGGTAGGGGTTATGTGGCTACAAAATCATTTCTTACCCCAGTCTTCATTGAACAAATATATTTTTACCCAACTTACCCAAACACAGATTACCTTTTACAAACTGTTGCAGGAATGCGTGATGATTAAATAGACATGATCAAATATAACAACAGTTAAATCAGTTTTCAGTTACGTAAAAAACAAACTCGGTATACTTTGTTTTCTACCTTTTTTTAACATCACTATCGAAAAGAAAAAACATTTCTTGTTTGTTTCTTTTTAGCAACCATCTAACATAAACCATAGGACCATGTAACTAATAATAGTTAGAAGATAAACCTACTGTGTTTTGAAATTTGATGTAGTCCCACTGAGTAGATACCTTTTATTTTTTGTTGTTGTTGCGAGTTTGTATATTATGATTATGATTATGATTATGATTATTATTAGTTACATGGTCCTGTGCATGAACGTATACTTTCTTTTGCCTGACAGTATATTATCTATATTTGGTTTACACGCAGAATACATTACCATGTTATATAAAATCGGGGTTTCCTTCAATTTGGCACCTACCAACTTTGCATATAGTGTGTTCAAGAAATCGCAAACCAATACGCATCGCACAAAATTAGCGGTCGTAGTGTGAGCCCAGCCTTTCTAAGCAGATAAAACACAACACAAAATTCATACCAAAATATCGTTTATTTCACAATACGCACTATAGCATATAGGAAGCGTTATGTTAACCACATGACATTTGACTAAATTACATCTATCTAACATTCATTCCGCGTGCGTAAGATGCACCCCCTCGTGGCCGTCTCAGCTTGGACAAACTGTAAAATATTGGACGTTCTCTTTCTACTGATTTACTGTACATGTGCATTTATAACTTTTTGTCAGTTGATGTTAGTGATAAAATACATGTAACCATGACAACCATTATATGTTGATAATAAATGATGGCCAATATAATTTCAATTTTCCGTGATTATTGATCACGACTACCGTTTTCCTGCTGTTCTCATCTGCTTGTTCAAATCCAAGCTCCTCACAGCGATAGCCCTTTCGCGGAGCTCTCTATACTATCGCGATGTTACTGAGAGTGTAACGAAGGTGTCACGCGCTGGGAAGGAGCTTGGTTCAAATCAAGAAAAGGGAGACAACTCACCGCGATCTATTGCTATTGAAGCGTTGTCACTTGACTTCTATGTTTTTAAAAAGGGCAATAATAGTAATTGAGCACATTCGTAACTATGTATTACAATATGAACGACAAACAGTGAGATGCATATATCTTGTATACAATGTAATCAAACAAAGGTGTAGTACTAACATGAATACTGCTGTATGTACATATAACATTAAAGGGTACATGTTTATATATTCACATAGAATCACAAATCGCGCTTATAGTGAGTGAGTGAGTATGGTCGCCGCTTTTAACAATACTCCAGCAACATCACGGCGGGAGACACAAGAAATGGGCTACACACATTGTACCCATGTGGGGAATCGAACCTGGGTCTTCGGCGTGACGAGCGAATGCTTTAACCACTAGGCTACCCTACCGTCCCGCCTCGCCTGTAGAACTAAGACGTACACACCTATCATTGTCAAAGCGTGCCGGACGCAAAAGTTAAAATGTATCAACTGTATATATATTGAAAGTCTGTATGATCAGAATGAGCGTGGACGATACAGCTAGACTTGCAAGTGGCTCCTTTACAATTTTTTTAATTAACCACCCCCTAATGAATGTGGACGTTGCGCGTGTAAATATACTAAATATTAGGGCAAACGTGTATACCCGATAACAAAACGTAGATTTTGAAAGGTATAGGGCGAAACACTCCATTATACAACACTTGAAGAGGTACAGCTGTCACATTCCATCAATCTACAGGTGGAATTTAAATGTTTTGACAGATCATATTCAAATCAAATTAGGGCTCAACACTGGCAGCAGTGTGTCGTTTCTCCATTTTCTGCATTGGACTCAAATCCGCCTGTGAATGATTCCGTTGTTTTCACTCGGGCCAGGATCTTTACGCTTGTCGAGTAAATAAAAAAACCCATCGCCCATAATCTTCACTGAGAACAATGATTATTTTTGCTGGCGGATTTTTTTCGTTTACAAATATTCTGAAACGACAAAGGCCTCATTAAATGAAAAAAAAAACCCCAAAACAAAAACGAACACCACACACCAAAGTAATTATTATTTGTCAAGACCACAGCTATATCTCACTCTGAAAATTTAACCTCAAGACAGGAACTCGTTATTGGCCAGTAAATATAAATATATACCCCTATGTACAAGTCTCTACCTGTATAGCGGGTATATATGTATATTTATTGATCGATAACGAGTGAACCTCACCTATCCGAGCTAATAACTTAACTCTGAGCTGAAGTCTTTACAGGGAGACAACAACCTTGAGTCTGAGTTAAATATAACACCCGAACTCCATCACTCTGGTATAAAGAGGTCATAGTGTACCATAGTGTACCATAATGTCACAGTTGAATAAAGATCCAATCTCTCATATATTATACTGGTTAGCAGTTTCCGCAGCTCTTCTTACAGTACAGGTCTCGCATCATGTAGTTCTCCTGACAGAACCCAGTCTTGGCCCAGTACACACACCGGGCAGCATAATTTGCGTTGTCGGTGCAGAAAGCTGAAACCAGACACAAACAATTGGGCCAGTTAGTACACACTCATACATTTGTTCAGTTAAACAAAATGATTTTTTTGACAGTTTGTTTATCCTCATTTTCAGCTTGGTCTAAACTCAGAAATGCCCCAGCTGCGTGTAAAACGATACGCTTGTTAGGAAAACAGATTATTTATTGCTTACAAAGATATTTATGTAAGACAACAAGAACTGAAATGTCAAGAATGGGAGAATAACGAACTGTTTTGCAGGTTTTAAATTTATAAACGATCCAGTTAGCTGTTAACTTAGAAGACTGTAACACCACCGGACAGAAACTGCTTGGGGTGGTTTGGCAATGCAATATGTCCGTACTGAGTGATCATGAGACTGTTTGCGGGTTGTACAACCATATCGGGGGGTATTGGAACTATCCTTATTCACTCATTCGTGATCAACTCGTGTTATTCCGGGACAAGCCGAATATTCTTGCAGATTACGGAAAGGGGCGAGTGGTGACGAATGCTTATTTACTGGCAGGTGATAACGGAAATACACGAAGTGATAGACACGGCGAACTGTATCGTTTATAGGTGTCATAAATGTATTTCTAGGGTCCGGCAAATACTGGAAACACATCATTCGGGTCGGGTTTTACCCCGATCCTGGATGTCGGAAAAAAAAACTTGTTATGGAAAACAAAATTGTTCAGCTGTATGTGAACTGTATGTCTTAACTCAGTGTCCGAAAAAATATCCGTTCTTGGCTACTGGGTGATTCTAACACCGAAAGAAACACCGAGGAAATTGTTTGCTTAGCCAATTAAATTCCTTGGAATCACTTGCAAATCTTATATATGCAGATAACAAAGGGATGTTGCTGAACGTAATACACTAGCCGGCATTAAAAACACAATAGTGTTGTTATGACAAAATCACGTTTTGAGCACAAACCTAGTCCTGTTGATGAAATGAATTATGGTGATAATCGGAACTGCGTTATAAGTCTGGCTACTATGAGATAATCTCGTTAGGTGTTCACTCACGGGTATCTTTCTGAGGTAATACGGCGTTTTGCTGCTTCCGGTGCTGCGCAGAGACGGTATGTTTGTTTTTAAGATCTTGACTTCTGGTCTGGTGCACAGTCCGGTGTTGTGTGGCTCTGCTGGCTCCCCTGTTGTGTTGTCGAGATTGGTGATGGTGTCTCCCAGTGTTGTGACGTTGTCCGTAGCGACTTTCCCGACTCGACTGTTGGCTGTGGTGATAACGTGCCTGTCGTCTGCTGCTGTAACTCTGTCGTCTGCTGATCTGACCTCCATTTTGACGGGTGCTGTCAGTTTTTCTTGCTGCGCTTTGATGTCGGTTGATGGTAGCCTTTTCAGATTGATGACGCTGACGTGCACTGGATTGGTGTCTGTTTCTGTAAGGAGGTCGAGAAATGCATGCGTCTCCATTATCATCATTTCATCACAGAACGACAATTATAAAATCATTATGAAGTTAGCATGGCATTTTGGCTATTAAAGGGCTTCGAAATTGTTTTTTTATATAAGAATATATAATTAAAACTTAAACATATCAAGTAGCATATGCAAACATATATAAAAGATACAACCCCGGAGAATAAGAAAACTCGATTATTCCCCGAAACAGATTGCATGAACGTCAACGTAGCGGTGAAAATGAAATGAAGGGATCACTGAAAATCAACAAGGACACCAGGTGTTCGCGAAAAGGGGAAGCTTGTCCTGCCCTTTCGGGAGCACCACTATATTTCGAAAGAAATCCACCCCCCACCCCCCACCCCCATATCAGCCATATCTCGACTACTTATTTGAGTCTATCAAGGGAAACCAGTGACCGAAATCATGAGCAGCAATCCACCCAATGACACGCAATCACCGGATCGGATGCTCTCTTGGCGGCTCTTACGAGGGACCAATTCTTGTCCGGAATCCCCACGGTGTGAATTATTAAAGACCATGTAGGAGGATAGTTGTAGCCGGGGTACCTGGTGGCGCGAGAGACCCCACGACGTTGTCCAATGGAACCAGACCGTACTTGCTTCTTCATCACAGTGCTCTGGGAACCCTGGCTCCTGTTGTCAAGTCTTCCGTCTACCAAAGCCAGCACCATCTCACAAGATTCACACGACTTGGGGCACATGATCCTTATAGCTCTGTTGCCCTTGCACCTGTCTGCCCACTTCCAGCAAGCAGGCAGCCTGTCCCTGCATCTGCTTCTATGACGCTTTGGCTTGTTCTTCTTGGCCACTTTGTAGTTCAATTCTCTGGCGGAAGAGTAGGCCAACTGCCGGGGCTGTTTCGAGACAAGAGACGTTCCCTGATCAGACAGAAGACTGTTCGCCTTGAGAGCTAGGGGTCTTCGGAAACGATCGAGACTGATTGGTCCAGATCTGTGAAGAGTGCTGGTACCACGAGATACACTTTTCCGATTGGCTCCCGTCCCATGGGAGAATGTCTCGAACCGACTTGATTTCCTGACGAAGGAAACGTGACCCCTCGACCTGGGCAATGGCTCTCTTAAGGTCAGTGCTGGAATGACAATTGTCATTAAACTAAAGGACATAAATATGAACGTATAGGTGTTAACAACAGTTAAAATGGAACAACACTTAATTTTGGAGAGGAGGTCCACAGATTAAAAGGTTCCGGAGTAAACCGTTTCCAAAAAAACGGCACAAAAGTGAATAGGGTTCCAAGAGCAAACGGCTCTTGACTAACACATTCCCATGCAAAGGGATCAGGCTAATGAGATTCCAAGAACAAACGGCCCCGGTCTGATAAAGTTCCTTGGAAAGGGTACAGGTAAATGAGATTCCAAGAAAAAAACTGATCTGGTCTAAAAAGTAGTTCCATGGAAAAGGGTCAGACTAATGAAATTCCAAGAAAACACGGCCGTGGTCTTACAAGATTTAATGGAAAGAGGATGGCTATTGAAAGTCCAAGAAAAACTGGCCCTGGACTTAAAAGTATCCATACGAATAGGATCTGATTAACGAGAGTGAGTGAGTGAGTATGGTTTTACGCCGCTTTTAGCAATATTCCAGCAATATCACGGCGGGGGACACCAGAAATTGGCTTCACACATTGTACCCATGTCGGGAATCGAACCCGGGTCTTCTGCGTGACGAGCGAACGCTTTAACCACGAGGCTACCCGACCGCCCCTCAGATTAATGAAGTTCCACTTGTGAACGGCTCTGGGGTTTCTTGGTCGGTGCTAGCAAGGTTTTCCCCGAGTACTACTTATCAATACTAATAAGGTTCTCGTACAACAGGGGCAGCACTCCCGAGGTCCCAGTGTACCTGTCGACTACTGACCCACCTGCTGGAGCTGGTGCTGGTGCTGCTGCTACCTCAGGCCCGCCGCCGCCTTCACACAGCTCCTCGGAACACGCTGCGCCCTTCTCACACTTGGAGCATGCTCTGCCCGGGATGTAGGGCACCTCGCCCATCCAGTTGCCTCTGCAGCATATACACACGGTGATTATACATTCTACGTGACCTTTAGCGAAACTTCAGGACTGTCAACTTGGAATGGAGATGGGTTTCATCTTCAAAAACCTTGTTTATCTTTTAATGTTTGTTTGTTGTTTAACGCCGCAGCAATATTCTAGGTATATGACGGCGGTCTGTAAATAATCGAGTCTGGACCAGACAATCCAGTGATTGATATCATGAGCATCGATCCACGCAATCGGGATACGATGACATGCATCAACCAAGTCAGCGAGCCTGACCACCCGATCCCGTTAGTCGCCTCTTACGACAAGCATGGGTTGCTGAAGAACTGTGGTAATCCGGATCTTACGATTGTGATATTGTTGGTCTGTCGATGTGGGACCATAACCGCACCATTACGTTAATGGGGTTATAAAGTGGAGATCAAAAGTAACGTCTCATTTCAACCAAAGGTACTTTTTGGTTGACCACCCGATCCCTTTAGTCTCCTCTTACGACAAGCATAGTCGCCTTTTACGGCAAGCATGGGTTGCTGAAGACCTATTCTACGCCGGATCTTCACAAGTATAATCTTTGTATGACCTGTTATTAGTTGTCATGCAGGAGTAGCAGGTCGTGAGTTCGAATTCCTGAATCGCGATGCTTATAATTTGGTTTGATCAAAGTGGTAAATGTTGTTTACCTGCGTCACGGTTTTCTTGTCTTCCATCTTGATTTCATTGAAAGTTTTTCATAAAGGCGTTAAACCCACAATCACTGTTTGATTATTGGAGTGAGGGGGTGAGTTGGGTTTAACGCCGCTTTTAACAGTATACCAGTTATATCGCGGCGTGTCAGCTTAATACTGGAGGACAGCCCGAAGTGATGAGGGTCTCAGACGTTTACCACTTCGGTGAAAACCCACGAGTACGGGTATGGTGCTGACAAACCTAGAAACATAATCGGGGCGAACCGGGATCCGAACCCACAATCAAAGGTTTCTGGCGTGTCCAAGGGACGCAACTCTGCACAGCGAATCGCGGCGCCAAAGACGACTGGGCCACCCGTGCCCCCGTTTGATTATTGGACGTTAAATAACAGACTTGCCTTTATGTCAGATAGCTGTGAACATCCTTGTATAGATATACGCACCTGGGGTAGTAGAAGCAGACGAGGTAGAAGGCGTGTTTGACCTTGGCGCCTATGAGCCCTCCCAGGTGCCCACATCGTGTAGCCGCACATCCTACCGCATTGGTGGAGTGCCAGACAAGCTGTGGATGATGGAGAGGAGGTCAGCAATATGTCCACATGAAGTGTACTGTCCCCTGTTTCACAGTACACGTGAAGGCTGAATGTAACTGCAGGACGTTTGCCAAGTATTATTTACCATTGCGATTTGAAAAAAAAGATTCGTTATGAGTTACAAAGGGGCATAACTCTTTGTACAATCACATGGATGGTTGGTCCTGGCTATTTATGCATGTGCTCAGCTGTATCCAACAAACTATTTATTTATTGAACACCACCAAACACCCTATTCATTTGAACTTTTATCACAAACATTTTGACGATTGTATTTTTTTCCACAAAGCAGTAATTTCATCACTGTCAACAAACATTTTGGGCATATGTCTTAAACTATTCATTTAACAGCCCCAGGAATTCTGGTTTCCTGGACTGGCAGTTAGCTTAGCTAAGGTACTATCATGAATGTTATGACCGCCTCCATGGTCTAATGGTAGAGCGTCCGCCCGTAGAGCGGAAGGTCCGCGGTTCGATCCACGACCGCGTCATACCAAAAGACGTTAAAAGATGGTACTTGTTGTTACCCTGTCTGGCGCTCGGCATTAAGGGGCTAAAACAAGGACTGGTCGGCTCGGAGTCAGTACACTGTGTCTGAGTGGCGTATTCATGTTAAACTGCGGCATGGTTTCTCAGTGAGCTAGCACTATAAATCGGCATCAGTCCGGACTAGTACAAGCAGCCACACACATACATACACGTGCATGCACGTCGCTATATAAGTGCAATAATCTTGGACGTATAAAAGAAGTATATATACACATTATGGAATTGCAATTCAAACACCACTCACTAAAACGGTTATGGATAAAATGCTTTCCATTAGCTAACATCCAAAAATGAGTATTAAACCTTGAACATTTCAGATTTCAAATTAAACACTGCAAGATGTACGAGTTTAAACTTTGGAATTAACAGGCAAGACATTTTGTTCTCACAAATAACCTGTCTAATTACCCATGTCAGGACTTGCTGGCACAAATATCTGCACTTCCGGTGGCGGGGGACAACAGTTAACACAGTTTTGAAGCCATTAAATTACTAACTGGGGTTGGAGAAATATGCACTTCATAACGAAGTGAGCACCCGTGCATGGATGAAGGATTTAGTGTGATGGAAAGTCGATTCCGTGCAGGATACATGCACTTCCGCAAGCAACCAACCAGAAGCAGTTCTCATTAGTCACTCCTTACATCTGCATCCGATATAGAACAAGCACCTCGTCGGTATGCAGCCCATGTTTTACCCAGGTCTACATAAAAATAATAACATGTTTCTCGTCATTATGGAATTAAACTTCAAAAAAATGTTTTGAGAAATTTATGGTCTTGCGATGTTATTTGGGATTGGCTTAACGCCATGTAGGAGATTATCTCAGCTGTACTGGACAATCATACAGGCAGAAGTTAGTGTGTCCAACAAGGAATCAAGCATTATCTACAGAGATTAAAACATTAAGATTTAAAGAATAGGAGCTGACGAGACGCCATTCATTTTTATTCGCCACTTGTCATATTGACTTGTCTCCATCAGGGCGATGGGTTAGCCTAGCGGTTAAAACATTTCCTCCTGACGCCGCAACCCCGGGTTCAATTCCCCACATGGGTACAATGTGTGAAGCCCATTTCTGGTGTCCCCCGTCGTGATATAAAATTTAGCTGGAATATTGCTAAAAGCGGCGTAAAACCAATTGACTATACATTAAGAATGGCACTGTATATGATTTGGACACTAACTTCTGTGACAGTCGTATTATCCATGACTTTGTTAGAGCTAGGACTTAGGGAAATTGGGGGTACGGGTGGGGTGGCCCAATCGTCTGAGGCGCCGCAATTCGCTGTGCAGGGTTGCGGCCGTTGGAACAAGCCAGAACCCGTAATCGCGGGTTCGAATCCCAGTTCGCCCCAATTATGGTTCCAGGTTTGTCAGCACCATACCCGTGCTTGTGAGTTTCACCAAAGTGGTAAACATCTGTGACCTGCATCACTTAGGGCTTTCCTCCCACATGAAGCTGGCACGCTCACTCACACAGGGAAACCAATGTTCCCGGACTCGTATAAGGAAATAGGCCTACAGTCGTTGACAATCCGAGACACCCGAGACATCCGCGACATCCGAGACATCCGAGACAGCGACTGGGGGAGCGTCCTCCCAGGTCCTCCCAGGTCCTCCCAGGTCAACGCACGCAATGTTGTTAGGACTTCACCAGACGATCACATTCCTTCCTACCCGGAATATACCCCCTACCCGGCTAGCCGCCATTCATGACAAGCACCATGTCGACGCTACTAAATGATGTCCACATATTTCATCGCACGTGTCTACAGGAAACATTAAAGGTACGTGTGCTATTTGTCTTCATAATAGAACCGCCGGGCGGTAGGGAAGCCTGGAGGCTATAGCGATGGATCATCAATGACAGGGGTTCGATTCCCCACATAGGTACAGCGCGCGAAGCCCATTCTTAGTGTATCCTGTGATATAGCTGGGGCCTTTATCCTTTCATGTGATAGAGACACGAATGCAAATATACCTGGAGCTTTTATGTTTGGATTTGTTGTTCAGAATTCAGAAACCATACATATACATATTTTCATCGCATAGGAAGTGCTTAAAGGAAGCTATCGACCGATACCAAAAGGCTGGAGGATCTTAAGTAGCACGTGGCCTAAATACATTTTGATGTAATTCATTTTTTGTACAATATCATTTCTTGGTCTACTATCTAAGAAAATGCAAATATGAAGACGATACTGTAAGCCTCGTTTGAATGATAAACAACGTATGGAGAGAGGGCTGTGTGTTTGTTTGTTGTTTATATATATATAACGGCGCACTCCATTCCTGTTGTATGATGGCATTCGTGACTATCTTGTCCCTTTCCGAGACAAGCCGAATGCGGTCTGTAAATAATCGAGTCGGGAGTGACTGACATCCGGAGCGTCGATCCACGCAATTGGGATACGATGACATGTTAAGTCAGCGAGCTTGACCCCCCGATCCCGTCAGTTGCCTCTTACGACAAGCATGACTTGCCTTATACCTTTAACTACACGTAAACGTTAGAGTTACCTGTGTAAAATGACAGGCGTAGCCGCATGACTGACTTCCGTATTTCCAGGTCCTCTTCTCGTCATGCCAGCCCTTCATTAGGCCGTCGAGCAGCTTGGGAGTGTCGAACTTCCGGGTGTCGAACGCCAGGTTCTCCCCCATCCCGCTCTTCATCTCGTGCTTGAAGACGCACCTGTCTGCCCAACGCTCAGCAGCCGCCGCTAGTGTGTCGTTCCATTTCTGGAGGAACAGGTGGGTGTTTAGGACAAAGACATGTTGGTTAATTTCTAAACTGTATGACATCTACTGAATGATCAGACACTTTATTCAAAGGCATTCAGTGTTTATTCACGATGTATTGTTGTGTGACGTAGTTTGATGTGGTCTGGGGATGTGGGATATGATGACATGCATCAACCAAGTCAGCGAGTCTGACCACCCGATCCCGTAAGTCGCCTCTTAGAACAAGCATGGGTTGCTGAAGACCTATTCTAATACGGATCTTCACAGGCTGGTCTGGATGTGGTGGTGGGCATGGATATAGGGGAGTGCATGGTACACGCGTTGGCGTGGGCGTTGGCGTGGGCGTGGTCATGGGTGTTATATTGTGTGACGTGGCGATGCTTGATGTTGACGTGGTGAAGGATGCATACGATGCTTGATGTGGACGTGGTGACTGATGCATGTGATATTTGATGTGGATGTGGTGACGGATGTATGCGATATTTGATGTGGATGTCGTGATGGATGTATGTGATATTTGATGTGGACGTGGTGACGGATGTATGTGATGTTTGATGTGGATGTGGTGACGGATGTATGTGATATTTGATGTTGACGTGTTGACGGATGTATGTGATATTTGATGTGGATGTGGTGACGGATGTATGTGATATTTGATGTGGACGTGGTGACGGATGTATGTGATGTTTGATGTGGACGTGGTGACGGATGTATGTGATGTTTGATGTGGATGTGGTGACGGATGTATGTAATTCTTGATGTGGACGTGGTGACGGATGTATGCGATATTTGATGTGGACGTGATGACAGATGTATGTGGTGTTTGATGTGGACGTTGGGATGTATGTATGTGATATTTGATGTTGATGTGGTGACGGATGTATGTGATCTTTGATGTGGACGTGGTGATGGATGTATGTGATATTTGATGTGGACGTGGTGACGGATGTATGTGATCTTTGATGTGGACGTGGTGATGGATGTATGTGATATTTGATGTGGATGTGGTGACGGATGTATGTGATATTTGATGTGGACGTGGTGACGGATGTATGTGATATTTGATGTGGACGTGATGACAGATGTATGTGATGCTTGATGTGGACGTGGTGATGTATGTATGTGATATTTGATGTTGATGTGGTGACGGATGTATGTGATCTTTGATGTGGACGTGGTGATGGATGTATGTGATATTTGATGTGGACGTGGTGACGGATGTATGTGATATTTGATATGGACGTGGTGACGGATGTATGTGATATTTGATGTGGATGTGGTGACGGATGTATGTGATCTTTGATGTGGACGTGGTGATGGATGTATGTGATATTTGATGTGGATGTGGTGACGGATGTATGTGATATTTGATATGGACGTGGTGACGGATGTATGTGATATTTGATGTGGATGTGGTGACGGATGTATGTGATGTTTGATGTGGATGTGGTGACGGATATATGTGATATTTGATGTGGACGTGGTGATGGATGTATGTGATATTTGATGTGGACGTGGTGACGGATGTATGTGATGTTTGATGTGGACGTGGTGACGGATGTATGTGATATTTGATGTGGACGTGGTGACGGATGTATGTGATATTTGATGTGGACGTGGTGATGGATGTATGTGATATTTGATGTGGACGTGGTGACGGATGTATGTGATGTTTGATGTGGACGTGATGACGGATGTATGTGATATTTGATGTGGACGTGGTGACGGATGTATGTGATGTTTGATGTGGACATGATGACGGATGTATGTGATATTTGATGTGGACGTTGTGACGGATCTATGTGATATTTGATGTGGACGTGGTGACGGATATATGTGATATTTGATGTGGACGTGGTGATGGATGTATGTGATATTTGATGTGGACGTGGTGATGGATGTATGTGATATTTGATGTGGACATGATGACGGATGTATGTGATATTTGATGTGGACGTGGTGACGGATGTATGTGATGTTTGATGTGGACATGATGACGGATGTATGTGATATTTGATGTGGACGTGGTGACGGATGTATGTGATGTTTGATGTGGACATGATGACGGATGTATGTGATATTTGATGTGGACGTGGTGACGGATGTATGTGATATTTGATGTGGACGTGGTGACGGATGTATGTGATGCTTGATGTGGATGTGGATGTGGTGACGGATGTATGTGATGTTTGATGTGGACGTGGTGACGGATGTATGTGATATTTGATGTGGACGTGGTGACGGATGTATGTGATATTTGATGTGGACATGATGACGGATGTATGTGATGTTTGATGTGGATGTGGTGATGGATGTATGTGATGTTTGATGTGGACGTGGTGACGGATGTATGTGATATTTGATGTGGACGTGGTGACGGATGTATGTGATGTTTGATGTGGACATGATGACGGATGTATGTGATGTTTGATGTGGACGTGGTGACGGATGCATGTGATATTTGATGTGGACGTGGTGACGGATGTATGTGATGTTTGATGTGGACGTGGTGACGGATGTATGTGATGTTTGATGTGGACATGATGACGGATGTATGTGATGTTTGATGTGGACGTGGTGACGGATGCATGTGATATTTGATGTGGACGTGGTGACGGAAGTATGTGATGTTTGATGTGGACGTGGTGATGGATGTATGTGATGTTTGATGTGGACGTGGTGACGGATGTATGTGATATTTGATGTGGACGTGGTGACGGATGTATGTGATGTTTGATGTGGACATGATGACGGATGTATGTGATGTTTGATGTGGACGTGGTGACGGATGCATGTGATATTTGATGTGGATGTGGTGACGGATGTATGTGATGTTTGATGTGGACGTGGTGATGGATGTATGTGATATTTGATGTGGACGTGGTGACGGATGTATGTGATATTTGATGTGGACGTGGTGATGGATGCATGTGATGTTTGTTGTGGACGTGGTGATGGATGTATGTGATATTTGATGTGGACGTGGTGACGGATGTATGTGATATTTGATGTGGACGTGGTGATGGATGCATGTGATGTTTGTTGTGGACGTGGTGATGGATGTATGTGATGCTTGATGTGGACGTGTTGATGGATGTATGTGATATTTGATGTGGACGTGGTGATGGATGCATGTGATGTTTGTTGTGGACGTGGTGATGGATGTATGTGATGCTTGATGTGGACGTGTTGATGGATGTATGTGATATTTGATGTGGATGTGGTGACGGATGTATGTGATGTTTGTTGTGGACGTGGTGACGGATGTATGTGATGTTTGTTGTGGACGTGGTGACGGATGTATGTGATGCTTGATGTGGACGTGGTGATGGATGCATGTGATGCTTGATGTGGACGGGGTGATGGATGTATGTGATATTTGATGTGGATGTGGTGACGGATGTATGTGATGCTTGATGTGGACGTGGTGATGTATGTATGTGATGTTTGATGTGGATGTGGTAACGGATGTATGTGATATTTGATGTGGACGTGGTGACGGATGTATGTGATATTTGATGTGGACGTGGTAACGGATGTATGTGATATTTGATGTGGACGTGGTGACGGATGTATGTGATATTTGATGTGGACGTGGTAACGGATGTATGTGATATTTGATGTGGACGGGGTGACGGATGTATGTGATATTTGATGTGGATGTGGTAACGGATGTATGTGATATTTGATGTGGACGGGGTGACGGATGTATGTGATATTTGATGTGGACGGGGTAACGGATGTATGTGATATTTGATGTGGACGGGGTGACGGATGTATGTGATATTTGATGTGGACGTGGTGACGGATGTATGTGATATTTGATGTGGACGTGGTAACGGATGTATGTGATATTTGATGTGGACGTGGTGACGGATGTATGTGATATTTGATGTGGACGTGGTAACGGATGTATGTGATATTTGATGTGGACGGGGTGACGGATGTATGTGATATTTGATGTGGATGTGGTAACGGATGTATGTGATATTTGATGTGGACGTGGTGACGGATGTATGTGATATTTGATGTGGACGGGGTAACGGATGTATGTGATATTTGATGTGGACGGGGTGACGGATGTATGTGATATTTGATGTGGACGTGGTGACGGATGTATGTGATATTTGATGTGGACGTGGTAACGGATGTATGTGATATTTGATGTGGACGTGGTGACGGATGTATGTGATATTTGATGTGGACGTGGTAACGGATGTATGTGATATTTGATGTGGACGGGGTGACGGATGTATGTGATATTTGATGTGGATGTGGTAACGGATGTATGTGATATTTGATGTGGACGGGGTGACGGATGTATGTGATATTTGATGTGGACGGGGTAACGGATGTATGTGATATTTGATGTGGACGGGGTGACGGATGTATGTGATATTTGATGTGGATGTGGTAACGGATGTATGTGATATTTGATGTGGACGTGGTAACGGATGTATGTGATATTTGATGTGGACGTGGTGACGGATGTATGTGATGTATGATGTGGATGTGGTGATGTATGTATGTGATGTATGATGTGGACGGGGTGATGGATGTATGTGATATTTGATGTGTACGTGGTGACGGATGTATGTGATATTTGATGTGGACGTGGTGATGGATGTATGTGATATTTGATGTGGACGTGGTGGCGGATGTATGTGATATTTGATGTGTACGTGGTGACGGATGTATGTGATGTATGATGTGGACGGGGTGACGGATGTATGTGATGTATGATGTGGATGTGGTGACGGATGTATGTGATGCTTGATGTGGACGTGGTGACGGATGTATGTGATGTATGATGTGGATGTGGTGACGGATGTATGTGATGTATGATGTGGACGTGGTGACGGATGTATGTGATGTATGATGTGGATGTGGTGACGGATGTATGTGATGCTTGATGTGGACGGGGTGACGGATGTATGTGATGCTTGATGTGGACGGGGTGACGGATGTATGTGATGCTTGATGTGGACGGGGTGACG